AGTACTAATGCTCAAAATGTAGGAGAGTTGTAGGGTGGTAATGGGTAGTCTTGATCTGATGTTAGTGACAGTATAGAGGGGACCTGAAGGCTCAGTAAGGGGACCCAGGCTACAACTATCCTACACAATAGAAATACAGAATGCAAGTACTAGAACATAGTCAGAACTTGTAGAACAGGTGGAGAGAGAGAGTGAGACAAGAGTAGAGTATATAGAGTGAGCCTAAGAGTACAGGACTACCTAGAGTAGACAAGATCAAGACTACAGGACTAGTCTGATCTTGTACACCTATATATACTAAACTACACAAGAGTACTCAGGGAGTATGAGTTACTAAGAATAATAAGCTACAAAGAATGAAAGAAAGGAAGGTCAAAGATAAAGGTACAAAGAATGAAGGGATGGATAAAGGGTAAAAGACTATAGAATGAACAAAGAATAAAGGGGTGGTCAAAGGAATGGAATGATGAAGTAAGGAAGGGTAGTAGTAAGAGTCAGTACACATATAGTCTATAGACAGTACCTCTGAGGGACAGAAGTCCTGAGTTCTGGTACAGAAGGGTGCAGAACCCTTAGAACTGAAGGTAAGAGAGTAGAGAACTGTAACATTATGTTTTAAGTATTAGTACTTACTATTGTGTCAATCTCTTTTCTTTGTTCTAACCCTTTTACATTTTTAAATTTTAAGCTTTCTAAACCCTTTTAAACTTTTACTACCCTTCTCTTATTTATTACCCTTTTTAGTTTAGTGTTAATTCCTTTATAGTATAAACATAGACTCTTCTAAGCCAACTGCTAACCCTACTGTCCTGTCAGATTAGTAGTTACAAGTAGACCTAACTCAATATGTATAGACCTCTATCTAAGAGACCTTTACTAACTACAGTGAAACCTGTCATTAAGTATGACCCACTGTGGACAGGTGAGGCCATACTTAATAAGAGGTTATGCTTGTTGACAGTAGCTTAAGTAAAGTAATAAAATTTCCTTATTTGTAGTACATAACTCAATAATACATTGTCTACTTAAAAAACAACCAAATATCAGTCTGTTCAAGAGAACTATTTATTTTCTTACATAGGTTTCTTGTAAGCTTTGGAAAAAGTGCTCTAGCCTTAGTAAACTCAGCACCAATCTTACTCTGAAAGAGTGTATTAAGCTTTGAAAGTAATTAGACAGCCTCTACATAGCTAATGAGTGGTTCTGGCTCTGGCTCTAGAGCCTCAAGCTCTGGGATATGCTCACCAATAGACTCCTTCTTATCATACTCAACCTGCTCCAATATCTCCTCATCAGTCCACTCAGCCTTAGTAATCTTTTTGTCCAGTATGTTGAGGAGTTCTTCTACTGTAGGAATGTTCATTACCAGTACTGTTCTACCATTCAATTTAACCTCCTCCAGAGCTGCTAAAAGCTCAGAGATAGCCTGAGTGACTCTAGTAGTATACTGCTGGAGTATAAGATTGATAGGAATAGCTGTATCCTGTACAATTGTGAGATTACAGATAGAGAGTACAAGAAAAACGAATTGCTTACCTCCTGAGACATATCCTTTGCCTGAAGTATCCTAGCATGCTTCCAACAGTTTGCCACTGTCTCTAGAGTAATCTTTTCCCAAGCCTTGAGTGAGAGACACATTCCTTCAAGCTGGTCAATGAAATATATGTTTTCAGCACCCTCTTCATATTGACTGAGAGATCCAAGAATGTACAGACAGTAGTAGTGAGCTTTGAACGCACAAATAATCCCAGCATCCATTGGTTGGATGTGGGAAGTCATGTTTGGGTCAAGGAATACAACTTTGGTGTTCTTGAGTTTCTTTGTGTCAAAGATATGTGAAGGGGCATTGTCAATTAACAAGCAAATCTTCTACTTTTGCTGACCCATGTCCCTGTCCAACTTATCTAGGAACCTGTAGAGTACATTAATATAAGGAATGCATGTGTATAGAGTTCACTATACTCACAATTGAAATATAGAACCTGTCATCCAAGCCTTCTTATTCTAATAATATTTGAATCCAAGTGCTGAACCCTCCTTCTTATTAAAACATTGTGGTTTTCTAGCATGCCTAATAAACAATGGGCCCCTTATATCAGATCCATCAGCATTAGCAATGAAGCTAAGGGAGATACGAGTTTTATCTCCCTTGCCTCCAGAGAGCTGCTTTGTAGCAAGCAAACAATTGGGTGGCATGTAATAGTAAAGACCTGTCTTATTAAAGTTGTAAATATCTTAAGGTTCATAGCTTGATAGCTTAGCTTGAAGACAGTTCCAGGCTTCAGATACAGTCTGAGCTGAGACAGAAGCTACTTCCCCATACAGCTTGTACTCTCTAATTCCATTACATTCCTTGTATGTGTCCACCCATCCATTTGATAGTTTGAGACATTCTCCCTCTGGTATTCCAAGCATTTCAGCAAACTGCTCAGCCTTCAGTTTTAAAAAAGCTCCTGTGATCCTGAGACAGCCTTGTACTGTCAAAACGAAAAGATTGAGGGCCTCTTCAAGTTGTGGATATATTATGAGATGATTAGTTCATTAACAGACGAACCATGAGACAATGACTTCATAATGTCTCAGTTAGAATACATACAATATAAGGATGAGAGACACTGAGCAGTCAATTGTCACCTCACCCCTTGTCTATGTGTGCCCCCCTTAAGTTCTCCCTCTCAACAGGTTATGAGCCTTGAGCTCCCTGCATACATGCATCCACTGTACACTCTAAACTCTTTACTCACATACATTCACACACATTTGCATTATGGTTCCCCCACATACAGATACACACTGTAAACCAGCCAATGTACCTAAATACTTTAGTCAAAACATCACAATGCTTAAGACTGAAGCAAACTACAAGATGTGGCACTACTGCATTGTTTCTAGTGTTGCAGCTACATGCTTCAAACACTTACTAAAGGATGAACCACAGAACGAAGCTGAGAGGGAGATGGCTAAGGCTATTCATGCATGCATAGTCAATAACATTGCCAACACAATATTGGCAAACTATATACACTTTGATACATCTATCCCTCAGTTAATGAAAGTGCTTGAAGAATGCTTTAACCCCTAGATGGCATGTAAAAAGGTCATTGACGAATCAGCACTGTTTATTTGTAGAGATCATGTAAAACATTTCAGACATACATTAGACAGACTTGAGGAAGCATACACAACTCTGTCTACTAACAGTGATTCACTATGCAACTCTACATACAAAGCAGTGATATTGCTTGCTACTCCTGAGCAATATACACACATAGTAAATACAATAATACAATCTACTGATGCCCAAAACAAAGGCAAACCAGTCAATGAACATAAGAAAGTTGAACTGAAGTAACTAATCCTTACATTACAGAATGCTTACAACAATTACTGTGCTAAACAAGCACAAGATTCCAATGATTGGACAAAGAATAATGCACACATTAATACAATGTATAAAGCCAATAAGCAGAGGAAATTCAATCTGCCAAATCTGTTCAATCCAACAAAAGTGAAATGTTTCAATTGTAGAAAAACAGGACATTTCTCTAAGGAATGCTGCAAACCTCCTACTGAAGCTACAAAGCTTGCATGCACCAAACATCAGGCTAACATTGTGCATAAAACAAATCAAACTGTAGAAAACACAACAAACATATTTATTATTGAAAATCCAAACGAAAACAATGTTGAATTAAAAGAAGGCAACATTGAAATGAACAATAATGCCTACACTCTTATTCCAAGCAACCAGGACAAACAATTCGAACAATACGTTTCCTGGGTATGTACTAATGTATTTACAAATACAATCATAACTAACAAGAAATCCTATACACAAACAATGGATTTACTTGATTCTGGTACATCAATACATGCTACTCCTTATCTATTTCAATTAACAGATGTACACAATATAACTCCTACAATTGTAACTATTGCAAATAGGTCAACAATGACTCTTAATCAAGCTGGATCTATGTGTATCAAAATCCTGAAGAATATACAAGAAAAAAGTGTCATAACATTACAAAACGTCTATTACTATCTACAAATGACCTTTTCCCTCATAAGTCAAGTGCTACTATGTAGGGAAGGTTATTCTTTTATGTTTACAAACAATAATTGTACTATAACATTACTATGTAATGAATACATCAGACATATACAATTGAGAAATAACTTGTATATTTTGTACAATAATCACTTATTAAAAACAATGAACGAACTATCTATCTATGATATACATAAATGTCTTGGACACATAAGTTACAATTATATTAAACGATTATTAAAGACACAACCAAGTGTACTATCAACTAAAATAATGAACTACAAAGAAAAAGAATGTATTAAATGTATAAAAGCAAATATCAAACGTACACTAATACCAAAACTATGTCAATCTCCTCTTGCAAATCAATTTGGAGATCTTATTCATATTGATATCATTGGTCCTATTGAACTGTATGCATATAAGAACATACACTACTTATTAACAATTGTAGACGATTCTACTTGTTGGTGCATAATGCTCAAATTACAAACAAAATCTAATGCATATATACAATACGTACAATAGACAACTAAAATATTTACACAGTACAGAGTTAAAATAAAACTTTTACAAAGTGATAATGATACTGTATTCCTTAGTGAAGATTTCCAACAATATTTAGATTCACAAGGAACAAAACGAAGATTAACAGTACATCATACTCTACAACAGAACAGAATAGCAGAACAAACACATAAAACTATATTTAGAGGTGTAAGAGCATATCTAACATCTACTGAATTACTGTTTACATTATGGGCCAAAGCAACAATTCATATTACCTATATTCATAATAGAACACTGTGTGCTACTTTAAATTATAATACCCTACATTACAAACATTACAGAACACACAGAACAATT